CCGTACGTGGGGTTGTGGGGGTTCCTCTTTTTTGGGGGTGTTTTTTAATAAAGGGGGGGGGGGTTGTGCGCTTGCGCGTGGGGCTTAAAATGACTTACAACGATATATAACAGCTACAAGTATATAAATATATACTCACTATACAGGATTTACCCTATTATACTTTATCGACACAAATTGATAGGTGAAACAACAAACAGCCACCAACAAATAGTCTATATTCAAAGAATCAGGCTGTCTCTGAGTTCACATGAACAACGCAGACCTATAACAACCCAGCCACGACACATACTTGGAGAATTGCGAATAACATGCCTTACCTTAACACAGAATCGACCACAGAGTCCAACGTTTATATTTTTTCTACGAATCTTTGAGTTAACATGTACTAAGCATTAGTGGAATTTGCACCGCAGCGCCCCCACACCTTGATGCTCATGACAAGAATAGCATGTATAGTTATCTTTATTGAAGTGAATTAGGTTTAATTCGCCGTCATGCATGAATGAATGATATTTTTGCAATTTTACACATAATAATCCACAATGATCACATTACACAAAACTGAAATTGCACGTCAAAATAACACATTGTCAATACTTTTTGAGACCCCCCAAAATTTCACAAATCACGTTTTCAGGGGAGCCCATGTCTTATTAAGGGGAGCCGAGCTCCCCCTAGCTTCCCCGTAGTTCGCACCCTGATTGTACTTTAAAAACATCCTGTAAATGTCAGAACTCCAAATTTTGTCGTTAGTCTAAAAACAGCTTATATTGAAAGCAGTCTTCCAAAACTACAGTTTGTGGAATGTACCACTCTATGATGTAATAGTGTGGATAAGCACCACCTCCTCAGAAGAAGATCGACATCACTGCCTGTTTAGCCCCGCCCACCGATTCACACATGTAGTGTAAATAACGAGAGGCAAACGCAGGTCTAAACAGAAACCAAATGATAAAGATGGCTCCGAAGACAACAAGAGTCTGTGCAGTACCAAGTTGTAGAAAAACAGTCTTTGCATTGCCTTCCTTCTGATCTTAAGATTGGGAAAGATGAACTTTATGAACTTTATTTTAATGAAGAGCCAGACTGTTCAAGTTCGACTGACAAGTTCGACTGCTGTGCCTATCGAATCTGACAGTAATGTCGCACCACACAAGTGTGATTACCTGTTTTTATTACGTGGTCACTATTGCTTTGTCTGTTAAACAGATCGTTTGATATGAGTATTTATGCGTTT